ATAACTTGAAGTGACAGCACTAGCAAAAACCTTCACAAGGGACTCCTGCCACACTTCTGTATTTCAATTTAATTAATTAAATATTACATAAAAGGCAGAGAGAATACTATGGAAATTCCACCACTGGCAAAAATCAGTGAAGCAAAGAGATCTAATGGGTGTAAAAAGTGCAGTGACTAGGTAGGAATGGTAATGAAACCCCACTGCTCTCTCCAGATGGGGTGTGCAGAGTGAATTGTGATTTTTGCTTTCTTCAAAAACTGGAAAGGGTTTCTAGGACAGAAAAACTACATAACAGACTGCAGTAATCTTGTAAGAAAGCCAAGATTTGAAAGCAAGTTCTAGGGAATTATTCCTCATCAGTTCTTTGATTACGGATGTGTCAAACCCTGTTGCTTATGTTAAATTAGAAACACTTTTTCATGTCTATTTAATTTTAGATCCTGTCTTTCAACAAAACCACTGCTGTCCATGGAATGGTTACAGAATCAGGCATTTTGTTTAGAAAAGGTGATTGCACAGCACCTACAGTTGATGGGGCAATTATACAAAAAATTACTATTTAGACTGATTTTCTTCATGCTCAGCAGTCTAAGGGGAGACAATCTGTCAAAAGGTATTTCTCTAGTGGCTTCTGCTGCTAGAAAACTTTTCCAAGTAGGACCTGCAGAACACAATTTCTTTTAATTTTTATCATTTTCATTTTGGAAAACAACTTCACTGTAGGCTAATAAAAAAAAAAAAAAAGAAAAAAACCCACAAAAAAACCCCCAAACCAAAATAAACCCAACAAGTAACTGTATTCAAAAAGTCAACAGAATCTGCTTTAAAAAGTTATTTATTTAGCCTTCTGAGAACATATTGGAAACGGCTACGAATCTTATAAGACTGAAGCTCCACTGAATGCAAATTCCCTGCAGCTAGCTATCATACTAGTACAGCTGCATACATGAACTATGGCAAGCAACAAAGCTGCTTAATACATGATCTTGTAAACCAGCTCAGTGCTGGCACAGAATGTATTAAAGGATTTCAGTAACAGCTGGTGCTCTGTCTAGCTGAACAGGCTTCTTAACCCACCTAACTTTTTGAAGCTAAAGATATAGTTTGAAACCTGGAAAATTCCTTACTTTATTTAAACATCTTTTGATTACAAATATAAGCGGTAGACATACACAACAGTCTTATGCTAGGCCTCCCATTCCCTGACACTCAGGTGAAGATCCCCCCACCCCCCACTTCTTCCCCTGCAATGCACAGGATTGAGAAGAGACACAATATGGTATGAGACAGGTCCTATAATTAACTACAGATTAACTGGGGGGAAAAAATAATTAGAAACCCCCCAACCAAAGAAAACCAGCCTCAAGAGAAAACTAAAGCAGTTAATAGTTACATATTTACATTACATATAAAAAAATCAGTTCATATAAAATAAATATTGAAGTTATAGCAAGCATTGGGAAGGGGACAGCGATGGGAGGAAAAATATGGAATGACAGTTTCATCATGAACAAATGCTAGAATTAGAGCTGAATGGTGTTTTACCTGGGAATTGTAAATGGTCTGAACTGTGCACCAAAATGACAGATTAACATGAGCTCAGAGAAATGTGATGTAATAGATGCCAACAGGAAAAACAGTGTAACTGTACATAAAGCAAACAATGAGTTAGCACAGTGAGTCATCTATTTTATGCACTATGTCTTGGCATCATGGAAAAGCCACCTGCTTTACCCATAATACTGATAAAAATGATAAACTATGGGACAGGTGACAGCAGAAGATACAGACAATATCCTGATGTTATAACCTTAAATACTGAACATGTCAGTGCTTTGAAGAATGGTCATCCTATTTGGGAAAAAACCCCCAACACAACATAAAACAATTGAAGGAAACAAAAAGCCCAATTAAAGCATTACCTTAGTGGTCTAATATGAGATACTAATTTTGGAAGTAGATGAATTAGCATCTACAAATCAGTTTCTCGCTTGAAAAAATAACTACTGTAAGAATTCTTTTCTACACGGTCATTAGACACCATCTAATCTTTCCTTCCAAGATTAGGTATATTAATTCTAGAGCCCAAGATAAAATTTCTGTAAGTGCCACTGGTATTGTCTGACAAATTTCTCCTGTAATTTCAGCTGGATACAACCTTCAAAGTTCCTTCTAACAAGACTCTGCATTGTAGTGTGTTGCCTGTGTGTCTCATGTTTATGTTCCTATAGTTTCAGCAGTTATGTTTCACCAGCAATTTACATAATTCTGATTTATTCAACTTTTCTTTTAGATATAGTAATAGGTGATAAAGTTCTCCAAAACTTACTAGAATAAAACAAAGATTCACAAACTGTGTGACCAAAACATATCATACAAAACATATATAAAGGAGTCAGCATTTCAGTATAATGATTTTCCTATCCTAGAATCTCCTGGAAATGCTTCTGAATCACAAAACTACTTAATCGTACAGGATTTGCATTCTTATCAATAGTAATGATTTTGCTGCAGGTTTGACTAACATCCTCCAGTAGAATAGGTTTGGACTATTATCCTAGTTTTCACATTACTTAATAGAAACACTGACCAATTTATTCTGATAGCTAGTAAGCCTTAAAAGTCTTTCAAATTAAAACTGGAACACAGAAGTAAAGCTCTGTGCGGGTACGCTGTTGTCAATAGGACACAGTAAAAATCATACACAGTAAACCTTCAGTTTGCCAAGCTGTGAGAGACTACAGGCAGGCAGGAAAACAAGCCTAACATTGAAAGTGATCTGGCCAAGTCAGAGAGCTAATCTGAAAAAATACAATACAGTAAGAAGGACATTGATTACATAAAGCAAAGGTGGGGTAAGTGCTACGCAGGGTTCTGCAAAAAGGATCTGGAGGTTCATGTTTCTCAAACTGGATGGAAGTGAAGCATTGCAAGAAATGCAAACATGCCGGGGTTTTTTAAAAGGGACTGCTGCATGACATACATCTCTATTCTATACTCTCATACCACTCTACTCAGCTCTAGCAGAAATTAACCAGCTGAAGTACACACACAATGCTTAAAGATGGACATGAATCAAGTGGAAAGAGGGAGCATAGAAGAAAAATAAAAACATCCAGAGGCCTTAAAAAGGGGGGAAGATTGAGAGAACTGGATGTTTTCAGTCTAGCAATGACATTCTAATGACAAGGATATTTAGAAACAAGACTGACTTGCTTTGGGAGGTTAAAGAACTCCATCTCTGAAGGTTTTCAGGCATGAATCATGACAAAAATCAGATAGGAAGGTTTTAGATTAACTCGCATCGTTTCTGAAGAAAGTGGGATGCACTAGATTAGCACTGTTACCCTACTCTCAAATCTCTGGAAAACAACACAGACAAGCTCAGTACTCTAGTTCTAAACAAGTAGCAGCTTCAGGAAGTACCTTTTGCGTAGTGGTCCAAACACCATACCAAATTACCTCAGTGTGTCCATCATGGGAGTTTGCAATAGGGGCTGGAACAGATTTGGAGAGATTACCTAGATGTTCTTTCACCCCAAGGCAGAATCAACTGTGCTCAAACCACTCCTGAAAGGTGTAACTGTAATTTAAGGTGATCCACCCTGGCTTACAAACTCCATAGGGTTAAATCTCATGACCAATAGCAAGACTGTTTTGGAAGGCAGCAGTAGGATAATGTGACATGCCAGCTGTGGTGGACACAAATAAGATACTGAGATCAAGACTGCTGGATCATCAGAGCCAGGTGGTCAGCCTTGTCCCAGTCTTTCATGGTGAGATCTAAGAAAAAGTTGCTTCTACCAACAGTGTGTGAACTGCTCCTGTAGTTTCTCCTCCCCTTGGCCTTCAGCATACACAGTAGGCACTCAGAGCTGCTAGACAATTGAAGTTTCTGGTAAACATGTTGTGAGGTGGATCTTGTAAATCTGTCACCTTTGATGTAACCTGTTCTATAAAATCTCAGTGATAGATGCAAAATGATCAGGTGATTGTCCCTTATTCATCATGATCAGATCTTTCTTCTACCTTCTCACTTCTAGACTGAACAGTCCCCAATTACAGCTTTCTCTTACATTTCCTCAACCTCCATCTTCTCATTAACAGAATCCTCTCCAATCAACCCATGTAAGCCCACATCTAATACTTCTAAAAATTATACAAAGCGCAAATTTTGTGAAAAACTAGGACAAACATAATTCTTTACAATAGAAATTACCGATTAACTTTTACCAGAGAAACCACAGCAAGAGTTTCTAGTGTATACTGTCAATTTGACAGATGCTGTAGTTCTGTGCAGTACACCCAAGTACGGTTCCCTAGGCATATAATTCTTACATCATCAAAATTAAAAGGTATACCACAGGCATTACACTGCCAGTCTTCTTTTAATAGTTATACGTAGGCTGTTAGATATAATAATGGTGGTGCTCCAGCAGGAGAAACCTACATGTGGACACCTCATATCAAAACATTGTGTCATAAGAATCAGACCCTCGTTAACAAAAGTAAGTCCAATGGCAAAACCTAATTTTCTATATATCCATAAAGCCTTCTTCATGAAAGGGAAATATTTGTTTCTCCATAAATCACGTATTAGAGTTCAAGCCAGAGTAAATTAGTTTTCTAATTGCTTTTCAGTATGATCTACTTAAGCCTGTTATCTGTGAACTGTAGAAGAATCAGTTAATCTGTTTTATAATTCAGTTTAGTCTTAAAAAAAAAAGCTATTTTGAGTCTAACCTCAGAAAAAGTATATGGTGTAATATGTCAACTGGTAACATAATTAAAGAATAATAGTGATACACACAAACAAAAATGGTTCCTAGAGCTCACACGCATTGTCCTATTCTGGAGAACTGTTCTTATAGAGCCTTTTGTGAGTATCAAAGACAAAATCCCACTACCACTGACGACAACTTGTTTGTTTTCCTACTGATTTAGGTGATAAGTAACAGGACAGAAATGTGTTGTGATTCAATTAAAAACACAGGAAAAGAAACAAGTATTTCCCTTTATTAATATATATATCTGTTTATCATACAAGCTATCAATATGTACATGAACATTCAAGATTAAATATTAATAATAAGCAAATGATCTATCATGAAGTAATTTATATTGTTATAACTGATTTGGAAGAATATTAATTTGAACCAGAGAAGTATTGACTTCAAGTATTCCAGGTTGGTTTTGAATCAGTTAGCAGCAAGATAACACACTATAAAAAAGTGATCATGAGAAACCTGTCTTCTTAATATATATATTTTATGTTATTCTTACTCCTTGGCCAGCTGTACATTGGTCGGTTTTGCTCCAATAGGTATCCCATATTTGTGCAAAGTGCTGATTAAAATTTCACGCATTTCGTTGTTGTAGGAGTCAAAGTCAAATACATTTCGAACAACATTTGCCAGTCCTTCAGTTGGAAATTTCTGTGAAGAAACACAGAGCCCAAGTTTCTTTTACTGAATATCTGTTAAGTTACAGCATGTCATTAAATACGTCTAAAATCAATAGTTACAACAGTAACTTTGCTCAACTTAGACAAGTGCTCAAATATCATTTTTTAGTTTCTGGAATAAAGAAGGTACGTTGCTTCAGGTCAGAACGAAGTTACTGACACTAAGCCTGAATTAAACAAACAAGCAAGAGAAAATTATTTAAATACTCAACAGAATTCATGTTTTAAAGAATCATTGTAATTATACACGTAACAAGATGGTGTAGCCAGTGGAACATGTAATTAAATATAGCCTGTATTTTTTAAATTTGGAACTGCTTTTTTGGTAGTGTGATGATCTGACACAAATACATACATTTGTATAATTCAACTACACAATTCATTTAAGAATTCTGATTCTTAATGTCGAATATAGAAAAGCAAAAGATACACTGCTTACTAAAAATGACATTAGGTCATGATGGGTTTGATCAAAATTTGCATACATTTATTTTCCTAGAAAAGAATACTACTTAAAATGTGCTGTGTGCACTAAACCAAAAATTTATCAAACTTTAGTTAGTATTTCAAACAATGCAAGTTTTGCATCCTGAACTGGACCAATGATTTAAGGCCAGGGTGTTCTTCCTGCTGCTCATATATTCTCACACCTTTTAATTATTGTTTTTCTCAAGAAGAAAACACATTTTCCTGCCTCTCATTTCCCAGTAAGAGCTAGTAACCAGTAGGACTTTAAAGCCTTGACTGAGCAGTCAATTGAACACATTTAATAGGAATAGACTGAAGAAGGGTGTTATTGGAACCTGCAGAAGACACTGTGGGTGTGAAAAGCTGATTTAGCCTTTCTGCAAACTGGTTCCAAGTGCTTAGTCAGTAACTTCCGCTGTCTTTTGATTTTCCCTGAAACTTCAATAGTAAACATGTATCTGTCCCCTTTTAAATTAAGGCAGATTTCAATGGACATGGACTTTAATATACGCAGCTACAACTTCAGGCTTAAATAAGCTTATTTTTTAAAGGAACGTTTGGGTAATTTAAACAATATGAATTATGCGCAATTTAGATTTTACTTGTCATTGACAAAACCAGCTGTTTAAATTGAACACGCTGACACAGTTAAGTCACTGAACCTTTTCACAGATACTCTTCAATAAAACATCTGAAAAATCATCTTACTTTTGTAAGATAGTGTATTGGGTTTGTGAGAGGAGTGAGAATATGCGATAGAAACATCCCTGCAGACACCAAGGTCAGTGCAGAAGGAGGGGAGGAGGTGGTCCAGGCACAGGAGCAGAGATTCCACTGCAGCCCATGGTGCAGACCATGGTGAGGAACGATTCTCCTGCAGCCCATGGAGGTCCATGGTGGAGCAGATATCCACCTCCAGCCTATGGATGACACCACTCCAGAGCAGGGGTGTGCCTGAAGGAGGCTGTGACCCTGTGGGAAGCCTGTGCTGGAGCAGGCTCCTGGCAAGACCTGTGGCTCCATGGAGAGAGAAGCCCACCCTGAAGCAGGTTTGCTGCAGGACTGTGACCCCACAGAGGACCCAACCGAGCAGTCTGTTGCTGAATGACTGCACCCCATGGGAAGGACTCATGTTGGAGCAGTTCATGGAGGACTGTCACCTTTGGGAGGAACCCCACACTGGAGCAGGGGAAGAGTGTGAGGAGTCCTCCCCCTGAGGAGGAAGAGAAAATGTGTGATGAACTGACCACAACCCCCATTCTCCATTCCCCGGTGCTGCTGGCAGGGAGAAGACAAAGAACTTGTGAGTGACGTTAAGCCAGGGAAGAAAGGAGGGGTGGGGAGAAGGTGTTTTGAAGATTTGGTTTCATTTCTCATTATCCTACTCTGATTTCATTGGTAATAAATTAAACTAATGTCCCCAGGTCGAGTCTGTTTTGCCTGTGACATTAACTGGTGAGAGAGCTCTCCTTGCCTATGAGCCTTTCATTATATTTTCTCTCCTCTGTCCAGCTGAGAAGGGGAGTGATAGAGCGCCTTTGAGTGGGCATCTGGTGTCCAGGCAGGGTCAACCCACCACAGATGTAAATGGAATAAATCAAATCAAAAGAATTAAAAAAAGAAAAAAATCACCACATTACTATATACCCTGGAACTTTACAACCTAACTGCTTTATTTTACCTTTTTTTTTTTTGGCAAGACATGGGAGTGAGAATCTCTATTTTAAACTTCTCACTTTTTCCTCATATGCCTTTCATTCAAATACTAAATCTTTGAGACAAGGACCTGGATGCCCCCATCATAGTATGGCACATTCACAGTAATGAAGATAAACATGTGAAGAAGTATTTTAAGGAGCTGAAGTCTTAATTGTTTTTTCTCCACTAGTAAGCAAGGCTTGTACAAAACCCTCAAAAACAGACTTGGCACAATACGATAAATTGTAATATCTAGCTATATTAATAAATGTATTAAAAGTAAAGATGTTTGAGTCCTGAGAAAAAAATAAATAGAATAAACCTGAAAATTTTCATAAATGTTTTGACCTGTACTCTTAATCAAACATCAGCCTTAGCCAAGAATTTAGTATTTTCTGAACTTAATAAATATCTAATCTCTGCAATAAAATATCCATGACACAAGCAATACTAAAATTAGCTAGTTACTGTGGGTATCCTACCACTGCTAGGAACAGGCTTGTACAAACCTTTTTTTTAATCTGTGGTGTCCATGCCACAGAATATTTCAGTACCAGTGTTGGTATAAAAGCAAGATAAATTACATCCTGCTTTTTAAACCCGTCCCTGAAGAACCTATTAGAAATTCTGCACTATTATAGCTTAGCAAAGTACAAGTTAGCGTGGGAAAATAAGAAGCTGTCCTACTGCCTGTGCCATCTTGGTTACCACGTCCATTCCTTACTGAATGAAACAGGTATTAAAACATAAAATTTCTCCCAACAGATATTCTAACTAAAGACTCTCTAAATATTTCACATGTAATGTAAACGCAAAAAAAAATTACGGTAAAGCTACTTAGTACTCTGCGTGCAGGACTGTATCCTGGTTTGTTTTCAAGTATGTCTTCTTTTTGGTAACAAGAACAAAATGTGTCCAGAATTGTGCATACTCTGTATAGCCCAACCCTATTTATTATTTAGAACATTTATGATGATGAATACTGCATTTTCTTCCCTTCTCGCTGTAAAGCACAACCAACAAACTGGCATCAAGCTGTCTTGTTCACTCATGACCTACTCTTTTACCTGCCCTGCATGAGATACTGCAGAAAGTTTCATCAAGTGCTTCAAGTATTATCTGTTTTTCGCTAGTAGTCTCCAAGTTTTCTGAATCATTGTGTAACTTCTGACATTGATACCCTTCTGACTGAATTGCCTCAATAGTTCTATGTCTCTTTTATCAGTAGGACATCAGAAAAAAATTATTTCTTCAGGTACAACTGATAGCTGCTGTCAATAAAACATGTTCTGAACCCAAGACACTTGTCAAAAAACCCTCTACTTCAGTTATTAAAAAAATCACAACTCTCTGGTTTCAATCAGAACAAATCCAACAACTTTTTAATAACTGCCTGGACAACTGCTTACTGAAGAAAGGCCATGACAGTTCACTTGAAGAACACACAGAGAATAAAGCTTGAATGTTTGAGCTGAGCATTTTTTTAAAAAATCATTTGGTTTCTATTGATTTTTAAAACCGGATTACTGGAGGAAACATTGATCGCTCATCAGTCTGTCTGGTTCTCATTCATTGATTCTTCCCCTTACAAGTAACAACTTAGAGTACCTTGGAGTATTTTCACAGCTTAGATTCTTGGCTATTCCTTAAAATAGTAGGTAACATAGGTTTTGCTTTTAACAATTTTGTATTATTACATATATATATATATAATGCTTTATTTGATACAGAGTTGTGACAGAATTTACCCTGGTGAAAAATCCGTATTTTTATGAATCTACCTTTCCAGGAGTACATGCTTCACTATAGTCTGCTTAAAAGGTGTCAGCAAAATAGTAGCTTCCCAGTACACATACATAATCCTAATTAAAATACGCTATACACATTGATATCTACTGTGCTTCTACCACTACACTGAAAACAGTGACAAATTATCTAGCACCCAGTCTGTAATGAGTCCAGATTTTTGTTTAGACTTCTGCCTCATGTTCTCACTACCACTCCATATTCTAGTGCCTTCAGATGCCCGCACGTTTCCCATCCTGCCAGCACCATCCCAAAGGCCCACCCTGCCACCATAACACTAACAGATGTTTCCCTACCTGCTCATTCCTCCATGCCCTTGGCTTCCCCCTCTGTCTTCCCCTTCTATCCCCAATGTCTTTTCGCTGAATATTGCCAGCTTTCTCTGTGCCTCCTTAGTTGTCCTTTCAGCAGAGCAAGACGCACCACGTCTATGCCTCATTCTGAGTGACAGGCATACTAATTGATTAACCGGTGCTCGCGTCTTTAGTGGGCATATCTACTGCCAAGCAAACAGCTGAATTCTCCCCCTACCTTTTCATTCACAGGGACACTGATTTTAATCTGCTCCTCTCCGTCACATAGCCTCTGATTTTGAATAAGCCAGCAGAAACCTACTTCTCTTTGAAAACTGGTAACTGAGACTCACTGTGGTTGGCCAAAAAGGCAAATGGTTATTACTGATGTGCATTTGGCTGCAAGGTGACAAAGGGATACAAACTGTGATTTGAAAAGCCTAGTTTTCTTTAGAGGTTAGACTGAATAGAAAAAAGTACTGTCTATGCACAAAAGCTTATCGAATAGGCCTAAAAGCCTGACGACTAGTAGACTTCAGGGCCAGAAGGTACCTTAGGCATTTACTGCTTGGAAACTGTTGTACTAGTGTTATACTATAGTATAGTATAACATTACACAGTGTTATACTATATAGTGTTATACTATCTTATCAATCTCAGATAAAAATAAGAAAGAAGGCCTTTTGGGAAAATCTCAGCTTTCCCAAACTTAATAGAATTATAAAAAAAGCTATTTCCATTTTATCTGGACTCTGCAGAATAACATACAAAAGGTCTTACGAAAACTAGCATATTAGATTGCAGAGAAGCAATCATAGCATACATTGGTAGTTATGGGAAGCATATGGTAACTCAGTGGAGCAAGAGCTTCTCAGCTTGCCACAAGCCACTATTAGCATAAATACTTCTGACATTTGACACAGTCTGAAAACTGCAGGCGAGCAAGACAAAAAAAGGCTTTCTTCAGGTCACCTGCAATCTAGAGCTACAAGACCCAAATTCCCTATGCAATCTGTGGGAAGAAATAGTAGCAGCAACCAATTTAGGTGCCTGCATTAGACAACTTACCCTATAACTACAGTTTCAGGTCTTTCAACTAACTTGGTATCTCAAGGTTCACCAAAAACCCCTTTCCTTAAAAAAAGTTAGTATAAAGGCAACCTAGCTCTGAAGGCAGTGTCTAAGCTACAACTAATTGCTACAAGTTCCCTACTTGCATAATCTTTATGGGAAGATGCTCTTGAAACTACACTGTAGACACAATCCTATACTTGGATGACAACAATTAATTGGAGTACAGAGATTAGCCTAATAATATGTTGATGTAATCAGAATGGTTTTTAACTGACTAGCCTTGATGCTCTCTCATATAACAGTACTGAACAGCCTATTTTTCCTTTTCCAAAACATCCACCCCTTTTTCACAGAAGCAAAAAATTCCAAAATTATGTGGAAAAAATCAATACAATAGTACAAAAAGAGTGGGGCTGTGGAACTGCTGTAAGGGAAATTGTTTAACAACATGACTAACTTCCCTCCTTCCTTCCTAAGGACCAGCAATTTTATTGACTCATTTCCCTCCTTCCTCTTTCTTCTCTACCTGAAGACCTAAAAGCTTCTTACTTTGGAATAACCATTATGTTTATATTCATTGTTTACATTTGGCTACTCCCAGCCTTTTTATTATTCAGATTGAAAACAAGTCACAGTAAACAAAATGTTGCTTCCTTTCACAGAGACTGGGATCTTGAAAACAAATGTTACAGAAGAAATCAAAGTTGCATGTTGAAGATTTATTTGGGTATTTACTCTTGACTTTGAAAGAGGTGAAAACTTAGGAGACAGGAAAACTTGCCCGCTGATCTGTGCCCAATGTCCTGGTTGAAATGACCATACTAATCTGGTTAAGTGAAGGAGACAGAAGCACAGAGTAAGTGCCCTTAAGATAATTGGCAATGCAGCTCTTCCAGTTTTAGTTAGGTGCTGTTCACACTCAAGGAAAAAAAATAAATAATTAAGTCCTGTGCTTCCATACCAGTTAGTGACAGAAGACAGTGCAACTTCAGATTACTTGGATATAGACGAAGGAAAGATGCTAGGAAGGAAGGTAGGACTAGTCAAAGAGTATGAAGACAGGAAAATGTTAATTTAATAAAATCCCTAAACCACCAGCTTTTCAGCTGCACAGCAGCTGCTCCTCAAGTCTGCAATTTTTCCACTTTCGTTTCAAATTTAACTGTGTTTAGAGATCAGCATGTACATGTTTTATCAGTTTGGTAAACAAATACCCATCAACTGGTAATGGATCCTAATAAACTACTTTGGTTATGTGTTTATTTGGATGGATTCTTCAGCTTTTAGGTCTGGGTTTTGTTAACCGTTAGTACAAAGTTGTAAAGAGAACATTCTTGGTATCATAGTAGCACCAATTTACTTTGCCTCAAGACCTCGTTGCAACCTAGACACCACAGAGCACAAAATCTATCTTCCCCAGAAATTTGGATGAACTGAAGATTGTTGAAAGTAGTAATTCTAAGCTGCAGGATCTAAATATCTGTGTATATGGATGAATGTATGTGGGTATGTTCATGAGCACAAACACAAAACCATCATGCAACCCTGTTATGCAGTGTTATACACGGGAATAGTAGGTCAAATATTTTGTGAGAAATTATACTCTAATTGTAGTAATTACATTAATATTTCCACTAAATTTTTCTTCAATCTAGGATTCAGTAATTCAAGAAATAGTGTATAAATCAACAATTTACTGATTTTATGATTATAAACAGGACAAAATAAAACCACTGCTATTTCAAAGAGTTTTAAGATACTTTATACTTCAAGTACTTCAGGCAAAAAGTATAGTTCAATTTATAAAGATAGAAGTCAGGCTCTATTGCAATCTTTAAAAAAAGATCATCATTAAATCAGAATTCATGATTTTACAGTTAAAGTGTGTGTAGGAAGCAATCACGGATCCTAAGTACCTGTTTGCTAAGTTTTTATCCATCTAACATTTTCCTTAGAAAAAAATCCATCCATCAGTGATGTATTATTGCTATGCAACAGGAACTTGCTTTCCCCCAGGAAATGATTAAAACCAAAAATTTTATAGCAGCATAAAGTGAACAGTTGCACTGTTCTGGAAGTACTGTATACTGAATATGGAATTTTACAATGAAGGCTAGTATGAACATTGCATACTCTATCCACATGCATGAATGTGGTATTTTCTCACACAGTATAAAACTGGACTCAGGGGCAGGGGAGAGAGGGGTTAATATCTATAAATATGCAGAAAAAATATCTGCCTGTTTACACCTGTGATCCTTACCCCCAGGCAATCTGAACATCTGAATATGATTCCTTCAAAATGCAAAACTTTTCATAAGAATGAAAAAAATGTGTAACATCTTCCTAAAACTTTCAAGCATTAAAAACTCAATAGCGATGAAGTCAAGTTTATAATGAAATCTGATGTACCATACCTGTAAATGTTTTACAATATTCACAACTTCTCTGGTTGAATAGGGATAGTTAATAATTCCTTGGTCAGCCAAGCTCCTGAGTTCTCCAAAAGCAGCCACCAGTTTCTGAAGAATTGGCTCTGGAACATCAGGACCATACTGTCTAAGCATAGCCAGCTCAGACTCTGGTTTGGGATTATCAACAGCATGGCAACTAAAAATGTCCCCTAAAAGAATAAAAGCATCCATTTCAGTAATTATAAAGAGATAGCATCACAACAGCCCCTTTAATTTTCATATAGCACCTTAAATGGAAAAGCAATGGCTCAAGACGATGCTGAGTACCTGCTACCCTATCACACATGGTCATGTGCATGGAGACACTAATATGGATTAAGCAGCTGGTAGCATAGTGTTAACACAAAAAAAAGACAGAAGCCTCCACTGCTGAGAGAAAAGAATCATGCATTAGGCTCCCATTTCTTATACTGAAAAGGACAGCACCTGGGCTCCAGCTTGTTTGATATGGGGGAAAAAGCTGTGTTAACCACTGATGTCAGGTATCCGGCTGCTTACAACTCATGTTTCTGCTATATTTGTATACAATATACATTCATTTGTAAACATTTCTTTTGTAACCTTGTCTGTCTGCTGTGTTTGTCCAGATCCCCTAAAACAAAACAGTTGTAACACAGATGACCACATATGTGCCCATTCACTCCAGGCCAAGTTCACTTCAGGGCAAGTTCAGGCACTTTTCTTAAGATACGTAAATTTACGTGGTAGTCTTCAAGCTGAATCTCATCTCGAGTGTCTTATGTGAAACAAAGTATCAATATGCATAAGGTCCCCTTCTCCTCATGAAATCTAGTGGATAAAGACAGTTATTCTATTAATCAATCCTATTAAAGATCACCATTTAATATGAATCACTTACCTAATGTGCCAAAAAAGTCATTCCCCAAGAAAGGAAATCCAGGTCTGTTTGCTAGAACTATCATTCTAAAATCAGGATGAATAACTATTACATTTTCTCTCCCTTCTACATGAGCATTATCTGGAAAATAAATAAAATTTTTTAATTGCATATTTGAGCTTTGTGATAATGAATTATGAAAGAATTCTGCTAATCATGTTCTCAGAGCAGTTACAAAAGAAGGATCAACAGCTTCTTAGCATGTAATTCAACAGTATGTTCTAGCTTTCATTTTAAAGTTTCGTAATTTGTTTCATGAGTATTTAACTGAAGTGTTTCATTAAGAAAAAAAACCCACAACAAAACAACATTAAAATGCATCCACTCTTCTCGGGGTGGGGATTACCTGCCCTGTTTATATTTGATTTCACCAAAACGCTGAAGCCAATGATGAATAAAATGTGGTTTTATATAGGTCTGACATTATCTGATCTGGGAACACAGGACTGAAGTTCCTCCTCTTTACTACAAAAATTTTTGGGAAGCCAGAGACATGTAAAGAATCTGTTTCTCCAAATTGAGCGAGACTGGCCCCACTTGTTCCGTTGCAGCATGTTTCCAATGGCACATTGCATTTGGGAATCCTTTTACCTCCTCTAAAAAACTACAGTACTAACTGAGACTGGCTAGCAATATATTTTATAAAATGCCCAACTACATGACAAGCAAACCTCAAGTGTTGTGCCATGCGAGTGCCAAATTACTGCTCCACTCATACTTAAACATTATTCCCAATACTGTTAAAAAGAAGCTCATTATGTAAATTACAGTGTCTACTAACATTAAGAGGGCATTTCAAACATGTTCTTTGAAAAATATTTAGTTCCAGCAATTCACATTAACTAAATTCCATTAAATTTCAAGATATTGTCAGCCTGCAGGATGTATTTAAATAATATAAGCATATGCAATATTTGATTAGATGAAGACCTTAACAATTCAAACTTAGATATACTCATATCTTCAATTCTAAATCTGACCAAATTATACCCCCAACTGTCTAGACAGGCATAACCAAGATTATAATTTGGTCAACTTGATCTTTATTTCTTATGGTGAATGAGAAGCAGAGACGTCAAGTTTGTTGGGATTTTATTCACGAGAATGCCAATTTAAGAAAATATTTGTGGCTATTGCAAAAGTAGTAAAGAAAATTGCTGTAAATTCTTTAATTGCTGTAAACTCTTTAATTGTTAACCTTTTAGCATCAAGTACTTTTTCCGCTTGGGTTCTTCTGAGTCTCTATTTAGTAATGTAATTGCTGAAAACCAGCAACATGTTATTTTACTGTAAATAATCAAAACCCTTCCTATGTACTTACGGGCAACAATTCGCCTTCCATCTGACAAAACCATTTCCCCACTTTCTACTAAAGTTTTTAAGATGCAGGTAACATTTGTTGGTGCTTTGTCTGCCTCATCAATTACCAAAATATGTCCAAACTTCACTGCTCTTACCTAGAAGAGAAAACAATCAAAATATCACAATTCCCAAAAAAACCCTGGAAGAATCTGCATTAATGATTTTTCAGTTATCAGAAGTGACACCTTGATGGCATTGAGACAGGAAAGGGACTCAGAACCAGGACAGGCTATGAACAAACTCTAGCAGAGAGAAGAGGAGGCAGGTCAGACAAGAAAGGTGGGTGTTTCTGTTTCTTCAGGATAGGGATGGAGAGGGCTGTGCTAGGGAGGAAAATGAGTAGCCTTGACGGAGACCGGCTCACTAGGACGCCTGAAAGGAAACAGACGGACTACAGCTCTTATGGCATGTAGCGAAGTTTATTACTGCAGCTTCTACTTTTATATCATACAGTTTCTTGCTTACTTTAGCTATTCCATTGTTCAGGATAGGGGTGGAGAGGGCTGTGCTAGGGAGGAAAATGAGTAGCCTGACTGAGAATGAACTGGAATGCTGACAGAGCAGTGCAAGCAGTTTGCATCTAGACTGTCAACATGTAGCTGAAAGGACTAAAGGATGGCTGCAACAGCTGTTTAAAGTCCAACTTAACAGCTAGGTGTGAGATGCTACAGAAGAGGAGGAGGAAAATATCATTCTATCAGTTAGAATGTGGCAGGTTAGTACTAAAATATTTTCCATACTTGTCTTGTACATGCAGACTCCCAGGACTATCCTCTTATTCACATTTAACACGGCTAAAGTGGCAAATGTGACCCAAGTATTGTAATTATGTGATTTAGATCAGACATTAGGAAAAAATTCTTCCCTGTGAGGGTGCTGAGGCGCTGGCACCGGCTGCCCAGAGAAGCTGTGGCTGCCCCCTCCCTGGCAAGGCCAAATTGGACAGGGCTTTGAGCAACCTGGTCTAGTGGAAGGTGTCCCTGCCTGTGCCAGGGGGTTGGAACTAGATGTTCTTTAAGGTCCTTACCATTCTATCATTCTAGGAAAGTAAAAGTTAATGAAATGTTACTGTACTCACTGACTACGCCATGAAAGTAATCAAATCACAAAGAATTTTCTTATCTGAAAAGCCAGCATGTTTAACTACTTGTCTCAAATGAAAAAAAAAAAAATTCCAAATATGCAATCCAAATGTTACTACTGACCAGTGGTGAATCTTCATATATAATAAGACCATCTTTGACAGAAGGTTGTAGGGTAAGGCTTTGTACAGTGGTATCCCTGAAATGTGGAAAAACAGAAAATTAAAAATACACAGAGATTTAAGTTTCAATAAAAAGAAGAAATAATAAATGAAAAACTGAAGGGCCTCTTTTTCTAACAGGAAAAAAATCTCTATTTCTTTTTTTTTTTTTGAGGAATTCTTGTGGAGTTTGAACTGAGAACAACTCTGTGCCAGCTTAGTGGTCGAAGGTGACCCTGTCTCTGACAGGGCTTTCATGGTAGTTCTCAATTTCTAATAAACCCTGGAAATGAAAACACTGAAAAGCAATTCTGTATCTCTATTTCATGTAGACACATTACCACTGTTACTACTATTTTAGTAAAACATGCATAAATTGTCTTTTATATGACAGTCAAATCTCCCCACAACAATGAAACAGGAATTCGCATCATGACAGTCAAATCATTAATGGTTTAGATGCTCTTCTCCACATACCACCAAGAAAAAAGAAAAAAACCCTAAAAATACTCATGTGGAATTCTAAAAATCAATTATTTTTAGTTGTATCTCAACCATATCAGATGGAATAATTTTTACTAGCACCTGTTACATTCTATATTATGGAAGATTTTAGCTCTTAGATAGCATAGTATTTCTTCATCTAATTCTATTTGTGTTTTAATCACTCAAATGATTTTTTCCTTCAAATTTAAAACATTTTTAATTAAAATCTGTAATGTGAATATTCCTTACTCTTTACTATTTTCATCTATTTCAGCCACCACTGGTTGCACACATAAATAAAACCCAGTTGCCATTCAGAAAAATCCATCAACAGACATCACCACAATGGATTTCGGTATATAAATTGTGTCCATAACCCAGGGACAATCCCCTCTGATTGTATGAAATATTTGCTAAAACCATTGTCAAGATCTGTAAAAGCAACCCCATTTACTTAGGGGTACAGAGGGATCAATGAGCTAAGGAATAACCTAGACGTGGGTGATGACTCCCACACTTTTCATGGGCAACGGGAAGTGCAGTTCAGTCTTACAGCAGGCAGGCTATGCCATCCCTTTTCTCCTGTATTTCAGAATTTGGATTAGTATGTGTCGACAAAATGATGGACTATTCACATGACAAAACCCATCAGGAAAGCCTCACTTATGCTGCCCAAGATCACTAGGTAAGGTTGGTAATGCTTGCATTGCATATGAGATTTGATGCAACAAAAATCTCTACCTTTTACAGCCATACTGTATAACAAAACTGTTTGCTTAAGTTAAGCTGACGAACTGTTCCAAACATCCACCTTAGTTCTATCTTCAATTTTGTAACACCTTGTAAAAAGCCAACAATATTCTGATAAGCTCCATGGGTACAGGAAATCAAACACAGTACTGTTTGCAGCAAACTATTAAATGGCCAGCTTCCAATTATGGTCTTAAACTGACAGCATAACATGCACATTTCCTTTATTTGAAACTGCTGTCAGCAAGATTTCTGTCCCTAATAACTAAGAATTTCTTGTTTAGCTTTAAACTCAATGATTGATTTATTTCTGTGTTTCCCATGCACAGGAATAAAACATAGGGTGAGAAGAGAGATTTTTAATGTTCAGCTATTTCATCCGAACTTTAATCCAGGAAGGCAAAGGCTACAAAGCTGAGACCACCTTCACTTTATTTAACCCCACCAAATGTGGGCTGTCACAAGCAGTCACACTCCCCAAAATAGTTATATTCATAGAATTCACTTGCAACATGTAATTTTTTAAACCACTAAATAAGCAGTAGCATTAATCTATTATCTTAGAAATCCTACTATGGACACAAACCCAAAGCTTCTGTTGTCATCCTGCCCATCTACCCATTTCTACTCTGGGCAGGGAAACAAATAATGGATCATAAAATAACAATAAACCAAAAATTTTGTTTCTTGGAACACAGATTATTCAGGGACTACATTCTCAGAAGGTACGTAACAGCCTAACTCTGTTACCAGTTATAATTTCTGATTCAAGCCTATACAGTTGCAGATGTAGAATTCTTAAAACATGTAAACCAAATCCTAGTGTATATGAAGGCCTGTCACAGGTTACTCAGAATAATTAAGTCACTTATTAGTCAGGAATAGCTCATGGAAAAATGTTCTAAGGAATTAATCTAAGGAGAAAAGAGGAAGGATTTGTCAAACTGTGATCTCCTTAAAGTAATAGAAAGGTGAGAAAATGGGTGGATCTAAAGACAGCATAGGACAACAAATAGGTAAAGGTAGAGGAAGCATTGCAGGATGCTTTACAGATCATAAATTTGCTCTTAGCAGCCAATGCATGAAAAAAAATAAAGTGAACAGAACATGGCAGGAAAGGAAGATCTCTAGTGGTGGTGTGGATGGGCACCAGTGGTAACAGAAGAAAAGACACAAACGTCAAATGGCATCTTACTCTAACACAAAACACTGTATTTTAGTTTTGGTTAGCTAGTTAATCCTCTGGCTCTGCAGAGATTATTACAACCCCCTGATACGGAATACTAACTTGTGCTAAGTATTATCAGCAGCCCACACAAATCCTTAGGATGATCTCATTCTTAAGGGAAAACAGATTTGACCATATCTTTGGGGGAAATAAACACTAGAAGAGTTTACTATTTACTTAAGTGTTAGTATAAAAGTTGCATAAATCAGAAAAAGTTGTATAAGAATTGCAGAATTGTTTCAAAATAAAATAACAATTAACATCCTAAATCTAGCTTCTAACTTTATTTCTTATTTTTTCTGTGGTTCCCTCATTTGTTCTAATTTGTTATGCAGCCCTAATATTCTGAGGAAATATTTCAGGGGATTTGCAATGTATTATAGCTAAATATACAGCCAAATATTAATTCCATTGGCTTGAGGACTGACGTGAATGCAAAACTCCTGTACTTGCTTAGGCTATTGCATTCATTCCTGTAGATAAGAATGATTTTGCCAAGGTTAGTCCAGATAAATGTTATTTCCTTTCAGAATAATAAGCTATGTAATTAGACGTAATTAATTTCTGTTCCTCAAAAACCTAACATGACCTAAACACAGTAAAGAATGGCCTCAGGGTTTTTTATTTCTTAGTTTTCCATTTTGTAATGAATTATGTAAATGTAAAGACACTGAAATATAGAATAAAAAAATATGCTAAGACTGAAATATTTCTGAACAATACGATATACAGGTTTTCCTAAATGCTAAATATGGCGCTCTAAACATTAAGACTGTAGAATTTTACTCCCACGGGAAAGGAACTAAAAACTTTAATTCACATTCACTTATTAATATTAGCATCTTAATATTAACTAGGCTCTAACAAAGACATGAATATCAACACCTCCCACTTTCATCACATGTGGCACTGAAGATAAAAATAGTTTTGACACAAAGAAGCAAGACTGTGGGAATGCAGAAGCAAGTGAGAAAAGCTGTCTGACATACTGTCATCCCACTCAACTGCACTGTCTTCTCTTGATTGTAAAAGAAAAATATGAAAAGCTCACTAACGTCTTTCCTAAGAATGTATTTTTAGGCTTTATCAAGCAATCCATCCTCACAGGCTCTCCATGAAAAAAAAAAACATCTGCTACTGAAATTCAGCAACTCTTCTGACAGTACCACTCAAGTCATAGTAGGACTTCTGAAAATTCTTTTGATGTTTTTTTGTTTATTAGCTCACATCACTGCCTTTTATTTATATTTTCCTACTGGTGCATTATTTACCCTAAAGGCAACTTTTTCTGAGGTCTGTAGACTTACTCAAACATACTAGTCTGTGACAGTTACTATTTCTTTGACAGCAATGCATTCTTTCTGGGGAAGAACCATGACATG